ACCATCTGATAACACATGACCAGATTAAAATCAATACATATTGTAAGCTACATCATGTATATCAATGAAACGGACTTTTTGTCTAAAAGTTGAACATTTTCATTGATAATAAGATAGTTACAGACCATAAAATTCAGTTATTTTTATAATTGTTTTTTTCATACCCTGTTCTATAAAGCTATCATGTATTAGTTGGTAAATAGTCTTGTCTGGGACATAAGAACCATATATAGACCAGTGAGTGGTACCTGGTAATTACTCTCTATAGGATAAAATAAAGAACAGTTTCAAATCTCTATTGATTCTTTAATCGAAATCTAGACTACCATAGATTCATTTAAGTGTTGTCCAGATAATTCAAAATGATTGCGTGACTTTTCGTAAAATTCTAAATCTGGTTGAAAATCTTTCAGTTGTCACAATGGTTTTGCATTCATGATTGGGTATGATTTAGTTATGACGTAACCAATGTTGTTGTTTGTCCTGCAGCTAGCGCGTAGTACCTGCTGCCCCCATTACAAGATCTGCAAACCTTGGGATCTTTACAAGTTTTTTTTTCTTTTCTTAAGACGTGTTCCTAAGATCTCCCTTGACATTCCCTAACTTTTGGCCTTTAGTTGAGTGTTTGCCCCTGTGAGGTTCTGTCCACTGGCCGAGACAAACCATTAAATAAAAATGACAGTTATTGCTACCTGGGTAAACCTCTGCATTATGGACATGTAAAGACCGGTTTGCCGTGGTCAGTATAATGTTTCCACATGAGGTGTCCTGCTGGAGACGAATGGCGTATATTTCAGTGTGGTGGAACTGTAAAATCGGTTTCAGTTCCGCATGATGCGGTTTGTCACAGCCTTCCACAAACACACACTCTGCACCTGCACACACCTGACAGTATCACTTTATATTACGTTTAACAATATAAAAACTAGTTAAACCCAACCTATGTCCGTATTGAAATCTAAATGAAGACATATGTATTCATAAACTACCCTACACTATGTTCAGAGTGTACATAACTGCATTCATCTTTAACTTTTTTATTATTATCATAAAATGATAGATAAATCACCTGATAACATTTATAAGCTCCATCTGATTCTTATCCTACACCAACTATGTATTAGATATTTATCCTACAACATCTTCGTCTTAGATCTGACTTTTATTCAACACCACCTTCATGTTATCTTTGACTTTTAGCTTACATCTCCATCGTGCTAGATCATTCATCCTACACCACCTACGTGTCAGATCGACCATTCATCCTACACCACCTACGTGTCAGATCGATCTTTCATCCTACACCACCTGAATGTCAGTTCGATCATTCATCCTACACCACCTACATGTCAGATCAATCACTCATCCTACATCACCTACATGTCAGATCGATCATTCATCCTACACCACCTACGTGTCAGATCGATCATTCATCCTACACCACCTACGTGTCGGACTGATCATTCATCCTACACCACCTACGTGTCAGATCGATCATTCATCCTACACCACCTACGTGTCAGATCGATCATTCATCCTACACCACCTACGTGTCAGATCGATCATTCATCCTACACTACCTACGTGACAGATCTATCATCATCCTACACCACCTACGTGTCAGATCTATCGTTTATCCTACACCACCTGCATGTCAGATCGATCATTCACCCTACACCACCTACCTGTCAGATCGATCATTCATCCTACACAACCTACGTGTCGGACCAATCATTCATCCTATACAACCTACGTGTCAGATAGATCATTCATCCTACACCACCTACGTGTCTGTTCGATCATTCATCCTACACCACCTACGTGTCTGATCTATCATTCATCCTACCTTCTTCGTGGTTCACCTGTGATTCATATGACAATATATCGACATGACATTCTCTATTAACCTAACATCTTATCTTGTGAATGTTATTTGGAGTCCAGAATTATATTTTGAGCAGATTCATAATTGTCTTCATAATAGGTACTACTTGTATTCTCTTTGTGCGAGTTGCCTCTTGCTTTCACCTGCGATTCATATTACAATATATTAGCATGACTTTCTCTTTTGATTTACCTAACGTCTTATCTTATGAATCTTATTGTGAGTCCTGAGTAATATTTTGAGAAAATCATCATTGTCCTCATAAAAGATACTTCTTGTATCCTTTTTGTCCGATTTGCCTCTTGCTTTTGCACCAGACTCGGACACCTGCAAGGACTGATGTCGTCAAAATGTCCCACTCTTGGGAACTTGCATCCTCTCTCAGCATCCATTACTACATTGCCAGTGTGATAGGCGGTGTCCTACGCCTTATTTGGCGCTAGATCCGCGTAATGTTTACTAATTACATTGGTGGGGAAAAGCTTTCTGTTTGTCTTATTCTCTACAGGTTTTCAGGAGTCTCCATGTTGATATCTTTTTGTATATATTTTTTTCCTCATTTCATAAGTTTTGAATTTGACTTTTGGTTTTGTTATCATGTTGGTATTTTCTTGTTGTTTGATTATGTTAAAATTACCAAATTCATATAGAAAACAATTCCGAGTTACGAAAACAATGTCTAAGATTTGTTCTTTTTGATTTACGAGTCAAAAATAAAATACCCTAATATACACATAGGCGTAACACGAAATTCACATTACTGGCATCCTTTTAGAAAGGAAAAATAAATAAACACAGTGTCCATCAAAAAAAGTATAATTTAAAAGTATGAAACTAGATGTTCTAGACTGGTAAGCGTCTTTTGTTTCATCGACGACATCCGCAATATGTATTTAGGTCAATTCTATTTGAAACCAACATACAAATTCGAAATTAATGGTGACACCGGAACATTCAGACAGTTCATCAAATCTCGCTGTGAAATAAATTAGAACTTTATTTTTTCTATGTATTGTAGTTGTTGAGAACGACACTTATGCCAAATGATTTAAAAATCTGAATGTGAGAAAATGTACATGTACTAATAGGTACCCATAACCGAATTTCTCGAGAGGGTTTTATTTTCTCGATATTGTTGAAGATGGAATTAAGGCGTCAAATTAGATATGATGAAAATGAAACTGGTTAAAAAACCAACAAAAACAAAAAATCCTACCATGTAAATATTGGTTAATTCATGTAGGTAACATCACGCTCCGAAATGAGAATACGGGAAATTAACACCTTCGCCATAAGATGCTTTCACTCTGAACATAAAAAACTCAAAAAAACATGTAAACATAAAAAAACTTTAACATCTAAAAAAATTACATTATAATCCTTCCAACTTTTGTTGAAGCGATACGAAATAACTCCTTTATCTCTTTCTAGTTTGTGTGTTATAATCAGACAAAATGACCCGATGTATTACACCAAAATATTTACACTTGCTTTTTGTAATGCGTGATTGTATTCAATCATTTTTTTAAAACGATGTCGCTAATTTTGTGATGTTTTAATTTGGCAGGTGCCACACAAACGAAATTGGAACGGTGGCCACTTCAACAAATGATGGAAAGTAAGTAAACACTCACTGTACTGATAACTATCCTATCAAACTATGTCCTCTTTGTGTTCAGTAATTTTCCTTTCTTCAGTAACGACATATAGATTTCATAGTTAGCGATCTTCATTCTTTGCTTTATTTGGGTTTTATTTGTGTTTCTGTTCCATCTTGCATTCATTGTTTTAAGTTTATGAATGCTTGTTTTGCTATCCTTTATTATACATTACCTGGGTTTTCTACATGAGATATTTCTCGATACAGAGACAAATTGTCAGGGTCGTCCTTACTGTCAAATTGCTATCGACGCCATATGGATAAACTTTGTTTATTTTGTTCCCTTTCTAACAACGGAGGAAATAGTAATATTTTCATCTATTCTTAATCTCTAAATTGGTGAAACGGATACGAAATATGTACAAAAATGTATATGGAAATGAGACCAGGAATTCTGCTATTCCGGAATTCCTGGTCTCATTTCGATATACATTTTTGTACATATTTCGTATCCGTTTCACCAATTTAGAGACAACGGTCATGTGTATCATGACCATTTCAAGAACTGTGGAGTCGCAGACAGACATGAAGCACTTCCGAAACACAATAAAAACTACGCTGGCGGATATACATCTGCTTAAAACCCCATCGTACAGGAAGACAGATCGTGGGATGGAATTCGTGTAAAGCCCCGTTGCCCCACAGGCACTCGAGGCCAGGATATTATTTTTAAAACATTGATTTTTGTTTTAGCACTCATGACTGACGTTATTTAAACGAAACATCAGCAGAATTCAAGTTTATGTGCTGGTTGACAAATCCGAGGTCCACGGTCATTAAAAATGTTTAAAAAATAATATCCTGGCCTCGAGTGCCTGTGTTACTACCAAGGTTGTGAAAAATACGCAATTTGAAAATATACTTTACACATCCCATAAAATTTCGCCGAAGTCTTCATCAACCTGATAAAACGGAAGACTTTCTGCTGTAGATTACGTATTGCACTATCACTTTAATCACGAACTTGAAATTGAAAAAGAGGTAGTATTAACTAGATCGATGTGTTTGAACTCAAAACAATCTAATATTTGTGAGTACATCGATTTTTAGACATTTATTTCACGGACTTAACGTCCGTTATCTTCCGACCTTCCGACATCCGAGATTTTATTTTTCAAAAAATGAATAGAATGGGAAATGCAGGGAGTGAAAGTACATAGTGGTAGAAGGTTTGGGATAAAGATAGCGTCGACTGTCACGATGGAGGAGTACATTCATGAATAGATTGAAATTAGGTCGTTAACATTACAGTGAACAGGCGAGAAGGTGGTTGTTGCAGTTATTTGATACCACGTTTTATAATGTCAGTATATATGTGTGTTGGGTACACATGTACTTGGATACACAGTAGTAGATGTACTCACTTATATGATAAATCACTCAAGCCAAAAGTCAACAACACATGACTGTTTATGAAATGACGTCACAATTGTTACACTTATTTGCCTATGTCGCCTATAGTGAGATGAAGCTGGGTGAAGAGATGTAAACAAAACAGGTAAGCTTGTCTTTATACTGGGTAGATTAAAAACTTGACGAATCATATCTCGGCTATGTATTAAGGTGAGCTTTTGAGAACATGTACCTTCTGTTTATTTGTATATTGTATGCTGAAGGCGAGTCAGTTTTACAGATAATGATAACACGTGCCTACAGTCTATGTACGTATTGTATACTGAAGACCAGCCACTTGATAGATGTTTAAGATTACCGGAGTTTAGTCGCGTCGTTTAATATTTGCTCAATCATGTTATGCAATTAGATATCAATGTTCTAACTTTACAAGTCAGACGAAACAACTCTGTGCTATATGTTATCATACTATTTGGCACTCGATTAATTTTTATAACTATATAACTGTTTAACAGTGAAGATTGTTTTAGTAAGAATCTCATAATGATAATTTTCATGAAGAATCAAATCCCACGAATTTATGTATCCACGAAATCACACAGGTGAAATCTGTCTGATTATAGTACCATTGGATTTCGCGAGAAAGAGTTAACCACGAAATCAAATGCCATTGAAAATGTAAATTATTGGAAAATCACGAAATATGAACACAACGATAATTTATTTTAAAATTTTACAATATATCAGACACACCAGTACCGTATTAACAGTATGGTGACCTGATATATCTATCTGTTAATAACCTCTCTATATCAGCTGTTTATTATGTCGGTTATCGGTGTGATCATCACACGTAAAACAACTATCTAAAGTGATCACTTCGCTAAACATTTGATGTTTTGCTGGTTTTATAACCACGTGAACAGTCAAGGTCATTTTGAGGCAAGAATCTCTTAGTTAAAGCTGGTGACAACCTTACTGGAAAGCATACAGAGGCCTGTCGCGTGCTATCCTGAGCAATTAGAACTAGTGTTTTTTTCCCAAGGAACAACCACGACAGCAAAGACCGATCCGTTTCACAGCTTCCAGAAAAAACACATCCTTCACGGGTAGGGCCAGGCATCCAGGATCTTAACACAAGGTTACATATGCGAATGTTCTATGCTAAGCCATCTCGATCCACTTGCTATACATCATAATATCGGCTGTAAATTAGGTCGTTGTTACAAAACAAAGGACTGACGACAGGCATACTATTTTGAGAATATCTCCTTCGTTACCTACTCAGAAGAAGTAAAGCAAATAATTGATGAACTTGCACGAGACTGTTTTATCTTCTTAAAGGACTAATCAGTGATGATAGATCTACGTTTAAACGCAGGAGGAGACTGAAGAAAAACAAAATTACAAAATGTTAGACGAGGAAGTGCACTAACTCCATAGTTCAATCAGTTTCAAAATATTCAATTTTGCATGATTTGAAAAGAAAAGGTACCACGTAAGTATTCGGAATTGTGTCACTATTAGCAACCAGGGATTGTAAAACAACATTTCTGATTTTCTTTTACTGTATTTCTTAAATTCTACACGAAAGACTATCGCCTGGTAAATCCTGTATTTCTGTAAAACTGGATCCAGAAAGAGCATGTCATTCGAAGTAATAAAACTTAATTGATATTTATTATCTTTTCATTTAAAATAGTTTCTCAGTTGTGGTCAATTTTCAGTGCATATTTCGAAATCTTCAACTCACACTTCAGAAAATCGAACATTACAAAAATCATTATTTTTTTCTTGTTAAACGACGAGCGCAAATATCGCAATGCGTGATATGAAATGCGTTTGTTATTTGTAATTACAAGTTTTTCAATATTTTACAGATATGTCTGTGTCTTGTAAAAATGACAGTGTAAAATATAAACATACTTTAACCACCAGGGTTTTAATTGAGACAGTATTACTAACTATAGCAATTTGACCTAAATGTACAGACTCGATTGATAACGGTTTAGAACGTGATAAGAATGGTATGTTGCTGTACATTTAGATAAAAGTCAAGGTCGCTCAGAACACATTTAACAATGCATTTGTGTTATCTAAATTCTTTGTTAAAACATTTACGGTCAACATATCTCATGCTTGGTGCGATATTAATTAGTCGGACGTGTTTGTTGGTCGTTAATTTTCCTGTTGGTTTCGTAATCGTTTACCTTGTTCTCATTTGGGAACGTGACATTTCTTATTTAGAGTCACTTTCAAAGTGGACTAAATCTATTTGTTCACGCTTAGAAGAATACGCAGAGTAAAACTTTAAAAAAAAAAAAAAATTGTGTATTCCATGATGTTCAATCCACACTTTAAGACTTACGTGCTAGGGATGGGAATGGTATTGTACCTGCAGAAAAGACATCTTATAATGTGTTTGCAGATATCATTACATTTCCTACAAAATAGCTTTGCTCAATAACTAAGGACATCATATCTATACATTACCTAGTCTTTCCATAGAAGGAATTCTGGCTTATTATGTTTCAGTGTTACAGTCATTTAGATTCCCTAGCAAACATAAATACGGGGCTCTATAGCTTTTATATTGGGTTTCTGAACTTAATGGGAATCTATATAAACAGATAGTTCCTTAATCTGCTCTAGCAAACCTTTATTAAATCTTCATACTACCATTCTCAATACTAATCAAGCAGCATGGATGTCATCAAGTTATTTTCGTAAAAGTAATCGCGAGGGGTTTGACTTCGTGATTGACTCTCCACGCGTATTAACGCGAAAATAAAGCCCACGCGAAATATATGTGATTTACAGTATTCAATTTGCATTATTGACAACATACAACATAGTATTTCGTCATTATGGTACTAAGGACATTATGTACTATATCAATACAGACATCTATAACTTAGACAGAAATCGTCTTTCATCAGTATCGTTGGAGGTTTTGCATCTACATTTCTTATTTTTTCACCAGGATCAGTAAACGAAATGGCAGATATGACAGTATCAGTTAACACGGAGAAGAAGAACGCCAATGATACGAGGGCTTCAACATACTTCGATGAACGGGTTGCTGTTCCACAACCAGATGGTGTAAGAAAGCTTGGATTGAAGTATTCCATCTCTTTCTGTCTTGAGATCAATCGTATTAATAATGACATTACCTACACTTTCTGCATTATCATCTATCTTAGTTATACATTTTGTACACGTTCAATAAATTTTCGGTTGTTCACAGCCAATCTCTTTATTTCATACATATCCTGTTCAATGTTCAATAAACAACCGCATTATTTGTATAATTAGATTTAAGGTCTTAAAATGAACAATATGATTTTTTTTTCGTGTTTGAAATCACGATTATATGTTTTTCTAGTCGACAGAAAATGAACAATTTGCCTATTAATAATTATTTCATTAAAAAAAACCATATGCAATGTAACTGTTATGTAACTATTACATGTATTTGTAAATGGTTCAATGGACACTTTGCTAATTTACTACAATTTTGTTTGTTTTAGACTCGCTTCAGTTTCCGAAAGTTGTGGGCCTTTACGGGGCCCGGGTTTCTGATGAGTATTGCCTATTTGGACCCAGGGAACGTGGAGTCAGACTTGCGAGCTGGGGCTAGTGCACAATTCAAGGTATTTATACACTTAAGCGAATACATCATTCAGATTTCATTTAATTTTTAGCCACAGCGATACTGTGACTTATTTACTATTACAAAAGATACATTTCTGCGTTTTGATTTTCTCATGAATTGCAGTTTATGCATTCTTTATGTCTATTGATAGCATTACATGTTTCAATCATTCATAGCGAAAGGGGAAAAAGGCTGAAGCGTAACCAAGATACGATTCACCAACAGTTTTCAAAGTAATTTATTAAATCAAGTTGATTCAAGGGGGGATTCGACAAAAGTACAGGTCTTTACACTCTCCTTCGAGCGTTTGCCCCAGTGAGGAAGTCTTTGGGTGTTGTCCTCTTTGCGAGATATACTAAAATCTGTGAAAAACGGTTTTACTTCTCTCTGCATAACGTCCAATAATATGGTAGTGTAACAACTGGTTAGTCTTTTTCTGTATAATTTGACAAGGTGAGGTGTCTTGCTGCTGGCTTTCGGCAGTATACTTCAGAGTGATTGCACTTTAAAGCCGACAACCATTACAAAATGTCATACAGGAATATATCACAGCCTTCCAATACTACATCCATCGAACACACTCACTCACCATGTATATACATTAAGGCCGTCCTTCAGTGATCATAGTTGTTGATAGAACGTTAAACAATATAAATCCCTAGAGACACATACTAATTAGAACAGGTTGGGAAGGTTAACATTTAAAATCAAATCATGATATTCTCGCAAGAAATACTTTATCATTACTGTTAACTTATTGTAGATCGATTCGTCAGAGTGAAATATGCATTTGTTTTGAAAATAAAGCATCTTAGTAATGTGAGTTCATGTCGATATTTTTTTTTATCTTGGTAATCTTACTTCATATTGTTATCTTTGTATTGTCACATCAGTTTGATCTTGGTAATCTCACTTCAGTTTGATCTTGGTAATCTCACTTCAGTTTGATCTTGGTAATCTCACTTCATTTTGATCTTGGTAATCTCATTTCATTTTGATCTTGGTAATCTCACTTCATTTTGATCTTGGTAATCTCACTTCATTTTGATCTTGGTAATCTCACTTCAGTTTGATCTTGGTAATCTCACTTCATTTTGATCTTGGTAATCACACTTCATTTTGATCTTGGTAATCTCACTCCATTTTGATCTTGGTAATCTCACTTAATTCTGATCTTGGTAATCTCACTTCATTTGGATCTTTGTATCGTCACTTCGTTTTGATTTTGGTAATCTCACTTCATTTTAAACTTGGAAATTTCACTTCATTTTGATCTTAGTAATCTCGCTTACAATTTCAAAATTTGTTATACTGCATCCGCAATTGGGAACGAAAATACAGAAAGTGATAACATCAGTAGTCATCCATCATCACACAATTATAACCAGGAAGCACTTCAAGCCCAACATTTCCACCATCACTATGTGATTCACCGCTTTTAATTACTCAGAAAAAGGGCCACTTTGAGGGTGCATTGATACACACGCGTATTTAAATTCAGTGGTCTTTACATTTCTAAACAAGGACACAAACACTGTATAGTTTTATATTTTCATGATGCTCAAATTTTCAATTTTTCAAAGAATAAAAAATAAAATCGTGGATACTTGATTTCGTGCAGTTATATAGATCGATGAATTTACTTAAGATTGTTTTAATTGTTTATGGACATATGAATAAGTGGATTAAGAGGACCCATCAAATCAATGAAAATAAATCTGCCACGAAAATTAATGATCGTTCAGTACCCGAATGGCTTTATTCCCTAATCATTGTATAAACAAAATAGATGCTCGATAAAGTTAGATTAAAATCTTTTAAAATATAAACACTTTTTTTCATTTATTATCTTTTCGAATTTCTATTGAAATCTAAATTCAGACTGGCTTAAATGAAATTTCAAATATATATATAAATTATATTTGCCACAAATTTTTCATTTACATTTCTCATAGCAGGTTATTTCTTATGTAACTTCAAAATAATGAAGATATAATTTAGCTGAATATAAACGGGTATATGAGTCAGCCACTTATATTCCTTGATGGATCTTAATCTGATAGTGTGCGACCACGAACAAGTTTGTCTGAATAGAGATCGATCACGTACGCATGCCGCCTAATTTAATTTACAGACTGCAGCAAAATCATCCTGTTTCCCAACTTACGTCCGGGTTATTGTCAATGATATGACAAATATGGTTTTATAAGGCAGTCGACAGCACGAGTAAGCGTACACTTATATTTTCTTGACGTCATAAAAATCAGCAACATTACCCACCTTAATTTTTAATACCTGACTCACAAGCACGTGTCAACATTTGGTAGTTATATATATTTTACCACGTACGATCATACATTTTTCTCCTGTAAAAAAGTTATACTTTTAAAAACGAATATTAGATAAAGCTTCCGGTTAAATTAAATACACCTTATAAATTACATTACATTAACATGCCATTCAAACTGTCGGGTGACGTTAAGGACTGTGATGACGATGAGAGCCTTTAGGTCAGGAAGTGCCGAAGTGTTACAACGAAATTACTAGCTCATATGATAGAACTCAATTGTCATACGGGGCGCTCCCTAGTCACATGTGTGGGTTATGTGTGTGTCCCACTTACACGTTCACACTGTTGATAAGTAAGCCTTCCGTGTATATGGAAATTACATGTCATTGTTTAATTGTCATTTTGTAGCTTATTTCAGGGCCAACATAACTTTTTATATTATTCTTTATTTCTGTTTTTATTTTATTTGTATCTTTATATCACCTTTACTTATTTGTTCATTTGAGAGGGTGAGACAAAGAGAGCAATTACAGACCTCACGTTTCAATAAAAAAATAATACCAGAAAGTAACACAGTTTTATAACACTCATGGAATAGGGGGAAATGAATGATAAAGTTTTACTCACTTAAATTGGTATCTTCGTTGAAGCAAATGACACTTGCACTTTGAGAGAAAGATTATACAAAAACCAAGCAAGTGATTAACATACAAATTGGAAGTTAGATATTGTAGAGCCAAACAATGAACTACATCATACAGCTGTTTCGTCCTCATCAGTGATGCTAAGGACTTAAAGTTTGAAGTCTAAGAAACGACAGGAAAATGCAAGGTAGTCGAAAGAGAAGTCAAAACCTACACGGGGAGTTGCTACAGCCCCATCAATCAAAAAAATCCAATGTATCTGATCATTTTAAAAAGTCAAGTACGTATGTATTATGTATCTGAATCGTGCCACTATTCGAATGATTTGAAAAAAAGGGGCATGCAGGTTACGGCGAACCGTGAGAACTATAAGTCTACCAGCAGTGTCTATCACTCGCTATATCGAATATGGTGTTGGTGCTTTATTTTGTCGTATTTTATTTTTCAATTGAATAATTGTTTAATGCTTTTGTTTATGCAAAATTTGCCAATTTTTTTTTCTGTATTATCTGTAAAAGTCTATAATAATGTCATATATCATTGTGTATAATGATAACATCTGAATTTTCATTCTTCCATATTTTCTGCAGTTATTATGGGTTCTAATGGTTTCGACTGTTTTGGGACTCCTGATGCAGCGACTGGCTGCAAGATTGGGCGTAGTCACAGGGTTGCATTTGGCTGAGATTTGCTACAAACGTTATCCCAAAGTCCCTCGTGTGACACTGTGGGTAATGGTGGAGATAGCTATCATAGGTCATTATTATTCATGTCTGTCTCCTATTGATGGTATTTTGCATCCTTAAAATTAGAATAAAAAAGAGATAAAATTGCATAAAGTGCTATACGTTTATAATTTCGAAGATTGTTATTTTCAAGGAAAATGGCGGAGATTATTGACGTCACGAAAAAAGTGACCACCGTACTTTTATACATTAAAGATTTCAATAACGAAAATGAAGTTCTGAAAAAAGTTTCCAGCAGGATGATATACACATCCGATCGACACCTAAGATATTATCATAATTAGCATCTATTTTGATTTTATGATGTCGTTACCTGGAAAAAATTACCTTTGAACCAGATGAAAATAAAAAATATTACTTTCACTTTTAGGATCTGACATACAGGAAGTGATTGGAACAGCGATAGCCATCAGTATTTTGTCAAATGGAAGGTATGTACAAAGTTTTACACGCTCGGTCGCTGTTCCATCATTCGAGCATTGACATAATCATTTTTTATATCACTTTCTCACTATGAAAAGTATATATCACAAAAAATAACGTTCGGTATGATACAGTTATGGCATTTCGTTTACATCGATATGAGCGAAGGTAAAAAAATATCGACAGATGCCGAAGGCGAGGAGGGGCCACATAAATCGCCATATCGATCGAACCAAAGTGTCATCACTGTTTTATAACATTTGGTATCAAAATCACGGTATGATCCCATGCTATATAAATTATAACTAATTCCATGATATCAACCACCACGTCATGAATGTACCACTCTCCGAACATGTGTGCGATAAATCATATTGACTGAAGTTATGCTGCGTCAGAGAATACTTCCACGAGCGTTACATACCTGGTATAATATTTTATCACTGTCCCAGAAAACAAGTCGATGTGATCGGATGTAAACCAATCAGCCTAATACAAAAAATGTAATTAACAGTTGTATCCTGCTAAAACGCATTGATATTTATATCTATATTTAAAAGTACTAGATAAGGTAAATACGAACTCTTTGCATTCAAATATAGATATAACATGCCATATAAAGACGTCGTACGACAAATGTTTTCAACGAATCTTTCAAGAACCCACTAGCTGCGTTTTAGATATGTATTAATGTTACAATAGAGTCGCAAAGTCCAATATTTGAATTGGTATACTATTCTAGCATTTTAACAATGCTCCGTTATTTTGGTTACTCTTTTTTATCTGATGTGTCATGTAGTTTTGTCGCGTTAACTTTGTCGTATTGTCGCACTGTTGCCGCCCTGACATCAGCCGCTATAGTTATAATACGCCTTTTTCTATTTGCCATAGAATACCTCTGTATGGAGGAGTACTTATCACCATCGTCGACACATTCACCTTCCTTCTGCTGGACCGTTACGGGTTGAGAAAACTCGAAGCTTTCTTCTGTTTCCTAATTACCATTATGTCTATCAGCTTTGGATACGAGGTAAACACAATAAGGAATGAACGGTACTACTTATGTCCTGCCACAAACGATCCAAATAGGTCATCTGAACAATTTCGTCGTGTTTTTTCTTCATAGTTTGGATAAGAGCAATTGATTATAAGATTAATGAATAGAACACTGAAACAGAAAAAAAAAAAAAAAAAAAACGTTTCGGAAACTGTAAAAAAAATCACTATTGGACTATCATTTTTCAAAATTTATAGTTAATTGGAAAACTCAACATCAAAAATTTGTTTCAAACCTCCCTTGTCACATATCTTTTACAAGTATACATTTCAGTTCCCATGCTATACAGATCCATTTAAAACACGGCTTTAGGATTTAGACTTTGAACCCTGTCTACATGCCCTCTAGATTCATTTATCATATATCTTTTATATATCAGTATGTCGTAGTGCATCCTGACCAGCCAAGCGTCCTGAAGGGGATGTTCTTCCCTTACTGTGAGAACTGTGGATCTGATGAACTTCTACAGGGTATTGGTATAGTCGGAGCCATTATCATGCCACATAATATATACCTACACTCCGCCCTGGTGAAGGCAAGTAACTGGAGATTTCGGAACTCTTTTCTCCGTGTAGACAATGTCAATGAAAAAGAAGTTCTTATAACACAACTAGTAGAAAAAAATCAAGAAAATGCCAACATGTCAACATAATCATAATCTAAACTCAAATTTCATAAAACTAAGGCAAAAGAAGATCACGTGTTTCGGAAGAGTAAGCATTTTCTACATGCCATGTTACAAGAGCTTTTATTTTTTGAATTTATATATTTACATTATAAATTATGGAAAATATATGTACTTTTCATGCCTCCGCCAATTTTTGGAGGAGACATGTTGTATTCCTCTCAGAATCAATGCCATATTTTGGTTTGTAATGGGGCTACAGATCTGTCTCAGACTGTTCGTTCTCCTAACTGAGGAAGTCTCATACGAACATGCAGTTGATTAAAGCAGATTCTATTTATTCTTCCATCAGCTCTCTGATGTTACCACTTAACAAAAGACAACCCCACAATAATGATAAAGTACTCCAAAGCTTGCCGAGATAATCAAGCTTATTATATATTTATCCATGCTATTATTGGATGTATTCAAAGCTTCATCATATTCCTGATACTGTTGGAATTTTTTCTATTTTTTCGAATATTTCATGGTTAAAAAACAGTGGCAGGAAAATAATTGTGCTGAATCGGCTATATATCGGATAGAATTGCCATTTGGAAATTTATCTCGCTGCATCGAACGTTTAATGACGATTTAACTTCATTGTAAAATTTTGTACACATTAATCTATAAGTTAGTTTCACAGATTAATTGGTTTTTAGTCGAGGGACGTGAACCGTAAAGAGAAGGAGGCTGTACGGGAGGCCAACATGTATTTCTTTATCGAAGCAGCCATTGCATTGTTCATTTCTTTCCTCATCAACGTTTTCGTCACCGCTGTATTTGCCGAAGGATTCTATGGCAGATCATCCGAAGATATCGTCAGTATAATCACATGATGTTTTATCGTGTGTTTTTTTTTAAAATAATTATAATCATTTCAAAACATCTGAGTTCAGTACAACAATGAATAAAGACTGAATTGAATCTTTACACAATATCGTGTCAAGCATTCTTGTAAATGTTTGTGTATGAATTCATCATAATTGTACTTTCTTATCAAGATCTGTTTGACATTGGTTGCATTTCTTCCATTTCTTTTTCATTCCCAGTATCACGTCTGCACGAACGCTAGCAGCTCGTACTCATATTTATTTAATGTAAGTAGGCAAAATACCAATATCAGTCTAAATTAATTCAAGGTTGAATTTCTAATGACGTTGTTTCTAAGCACCAACGCATAGATTTGTTTTATATGTGTCTGTTGGTTTGATAGTTTTATAAAAATATATATTTATAATTTTGCTTTTATATTTTCGTTTTCAAAATTTGTTGATGCAAATAAATATAAAAATTAAATGTGAAATATGTTAAACAGAATTTTCAACAGACACTTGATTTTGTAATCATACATTTACCCAAGGTTCAGCATGTTGAAAGTTATTCTTTTACAGTGCACATCAAATACCAAAAAAAGAAATATTTTGGTCAAATACTTTAAATTTTAATCAACTATAAAATTAGGATTTTTTCTCAAAGCGTTTAATGATACGTTTTGTATATTACTTATAGCATTATTTTCTAAAACAAAAAAACCCCAATAAATTGTATTTTGCTTCATTAACCAGAACTCTCACGTGGTCGCTGACGTGGACATATATAGAGGGGTAAGTTGAATTCTTTGGTACGTTGTATTTTTTTTTATATTATAGAAGGGTAATTTGAATTATTTGTACGTTGTACATATACAATTTTTATATAAGTGATTTTTTTGAAATATTCAATTTTATTTCTAAATGATGTCTTCAAAACTGGTTGAGTGTTTGGTTTTTGTGTAGTAATTGTAACTTTATCAGTATTTAGTCGTGAAGGATAGAACCATATGCATGTATTAAGTATAGATATGATACCTTGATTGTCTATTTAATATTCACAGGGTATATACCTTGGTTGCAAATATGGCATAGCTGCAATGTATATTTGGGCAGTTGGAATTTTGGCAGCTGGCCAGAGTTCTACAATGACTGGCACATATTCGGGACAGTTCGCAATGGAGGTTAGTCACTAAACTGAGAGACACGTAATTTACTTATTCACAAAACTAAGAGACATAATTAATTAGCCACTAAACTGAGAGTTATATAGTTGTATATTCTTTACCTTAATTGACACCTCTCTTAACTGGAATGTAAGAATATCTCAAATCAACTTGATAAACTAATTATTGGTTGAGTTTGTTCTTTTATACATATGCAGTAGAATGTTGACAGCAGCTGACATATGATAACACATAACGAATCACTATCACGATGTTTTCCCTTTATGACTAGGGCTTCTTAAATCTAAAATGGAAGAGATGGCAAAGAGTGCTCTTCACGAGGTCCATCGCCATCTTACCAACAGTGTTCATCGCCATATACAAAGGCATACAGGACCTGACTGACATGAACGATCTACTCAATGTGCTAATGAGTCTGCAGTTACCATTCGCTCTCATTCCAATTCTAACGTTCACCAACTCACAGAAACTCATGGGGGATTTTAAAAATGGAATGTAAGAAATATTTATCATTTTCAATTAAAAAAAACAACAACTTTGTAACACTGTGTATTTTTGCCAAGCTGTTAATATAAACCATTTACCAGTGTATAATGATAATAATATTGTACTGTCATCTTAATGAGATATGGTTCCTAACTTCTTCCTAGAATGACAGATTGTTGATTTTATCATTGTAACTATATTTGGTGGTATTTAAAGTTACAGTACATGTGTGAAAAATAAATAAAGCTTAAATAATTCTTATTTTATTGTACATATATTTTGTTAAATCAATTAGCGTGATAATTAAATCGAAGAACACCCTAATAATTCAAATCACTGTAGAGAATTGTTTTGAAGACCTCTGTAACTATTGGGCAGCACATCATTAAGTTTTTAAGAATTTGATTTTGTCCATCACCCTTTCGATATTTTGTCTCTGTTACAGAGTAACACAGATTCTCACTAGTGTTTTATCAGTGGCTGTGATAGTCATAAACTTATATTTCGTGGCTGTGTATATACCAGACTTACCCCAACACTGGGCTATGTACCTCCTCGTAGCGATCATCCTCACCTTCTATGTACTGTTTACAACTTATTTGGTAAGTACATTTATCACAACAGTAGACTATTGTATCAATGTAGTGGTCTTTTTACGATTTGCTGTACTATATACAGTGTGACTTATTAGTATACCCATCTTAAGTGAGTCATCAGCTCATTACAGTCTTAATCTTGTTAAAGTCAATATCATTTACCTGTTGAATACACATTTACCATAACATAATACGTTATATGGTTAAATAAGTCTTCTCTTATCTACTTGCATACTACATGGCGGAGTTGTGATCTCACCATCAGGTCACATCTCCGCGTTGTGGTCATTTTTTAAACAAAATTTATATTTTTTTTCTCGAGACTTATGCCCGAATTCGACATTTTTTCGGTGACTTTTCTATTTATGTTTTATATCTTATAATTTATTAATTATGATCCTTATGATGATGTCTATTGCTGTAATTAATGTTGAAAAATCAAAAAGTTTTCCCTTATATTGGTTTTGCTTTGTTCCAGACATGGCATTGTCTGATAGGGATGGGATGGCGGTGGCTCTTAAAAATACCGGTGAGACTTTTGATGTTTAAATTTACTTTGTGGCCTTAGGCCTCTTATATAAAAACTGTACAGTATGATTATAAACAGCCATCGTCAGATCTTCAAAACGTGCTGTAAATGTTGGTTCTTTCATCTTTTGTTGTTGTTTGTTTTTGGCGAAAACAGTGAATCAAATCGAATGTATTTGTTGCAGAATTCATGTTACAACTTGTTTTCCTTTTGATATTTTCAGTTTACCTTATATTGGTAATTTTGTTTCGTCCTTGAGAACAGTAAAAAATAAACTCCTTGAAAAGGGAAATTCGTTAGCAAAATTAAGTCAAAACGGGTACTTTGGAAACGATAAATATAAGTATCCATTTGATAGGGTCATCGATTTGAAGTGAAACTTTATACTTATTTCTGTCATTTCGATCAAATCATTAATTAGACATGCTAGTTCCTGATGTAAGTTAAATAATCAGCTTCAGCATATAATATTTGTTCAAGTTTACAAGATTTTTTGTTTTTGTTTTTAGTGTCCAGAGTTTCTACGATATTCCGACGATTTCGCCGTTGAGATTCTTGAAGAAGAGGATTCGGAAATACGAATACAATAAGTGTGAAACATATTTAGTTGTTTACAAGTATTATATTGACTTATATTTGACTGGTACTGACATTATGTTGTTTGAAGTCAATTTACATACGATGGACGGATAGGCCTTGTGAAGGAAGTCATCACATCCTTACAAAAATATGTGATCATTACCAGTTCCTACCAGGGACTAATGTCTCTTGTCGCAGCCTGTTGTTCATTGCCGCATTCGGTTGTGCTGGATATTTACATAATTCTTCATTCGTGCTACTGCATCACACTAGGTAGTTCTATTACCTTGTCTCCCATCACCTTGTGTCTAGTACTGTGTCTGATGACCTGGGTAGTGATGTTAACTTGTCTCCCATCACCTTGTGTCTAGTACTGTGTCTGATGACCTGGGTAGAGATGTTAACTTGTCTCCCATCACCTTGTGTCTAGTACTGTGTCTGATGACCTGGGTAGTGATGTTAACTTGTCTCCCATCACCTTGTGTCTAGTACTGTGTCTGATGACCTGGGTAGTGATGTTAACTTGTCTCCCATCACCTTGTGTCTAGTACTATGTCTGATGACCTGGGTAGTGATGTTAACTTGTCTCCCATCACCTTGTGTCTAGTACTGTGTCTGATGACCTGGGTAGTGATGTTACCTGTCTCCCATCACCTTGTGTCTAGTATTGTGTCTGATGACCTGGGTAGTGATACTACCTTGTCTCCCATCACCTTGTGTTTAGTACCGTGTCTGATGACTATTACACCTTTGCTGTCTCTTCCTCCGTATCCATTTGGAAGTAACCTCTGTCTGTCTCATTGCTGTCCGTAACAGATTCTGTCGGTCTGCTTCTATGATGTCACTATCTTAAAACCTTATTAGACTGTTTACTTTAGATATGCTTACATGTAAATAACATTCTGATATGTGGAGTCTGCTTTCTTTGGTTTTCAAATAATTTGATCAGATGTTGACAACCAGATCCAGTGATTTCTTACCAGTTATTCACAATATTACAGTATCCAGTACCAAGTTTTGTTTCGTCACTATACTTGAGTCAACACAGAAGTACGTATATTGGTTTCTGGCACCTGAACCCATCTTAAGGGGAGGTTAATGATTCCAAGGAAAAGTAACTTCGTTATATGTATTTCCATATTTGTATTTAAATGTGATTCAGATCATACATGAGACCACCTTTAGATCAAGTTATTGATATACCTATTCCTATTGTACGTAATCGAGTCAATACGACCTTAATGGTTTAAGTATCACAAGTTTCTGAGTCAATCTAAAGCTAAGCTGGAATGTCCCCTATCTAGTTCAGTGCAATAACTTGATTGCTATGATTGTGAGAAATGAAAACTGCTTTGTTATAATTTTTACCAAATGTGGATGACAATATCAAGCGAGGCAGTCATTTTATTACGTTATTTTCATTTCATGACTAAACGTTATTGTCAGTATTATGATCACGTAATCGAGTTCTGATTAGCACAGCCAATAAAAATCGTCCCATAATATATTTCACTTGTGACATATACCAAAAATATTACATTCAACTGGGTAACGGACAGGTTATTTAATACATTGTGTTATAACCACACTGAAAAAAACACCTGTTGGAGGATTGATTATCCCAAGGTTCTGATTGCTATGATTGTGTGTTTTGTTATATCACCAAAGATATCTGGAAAGAGATTATCGCAAATTTAGATAACATTTCAGTCCAATAAAATGCCTTGACGATCGTTTGCAAATCTTGCATTCGTTTCCATATCGCATGAGGTTTATGACACTCGTCTCGATTTATTCATGTTGCCTTGCGATAGGCGAGTTAAAATTGAAAATTCAGTTATTTGTTTCATGAATATTGTGTATGAAATACTAGTTCATTTGGGATCCTGTATTGATAATGTGCGAGTGTGTCCTGTATGTATGACGTAAAATGATATATCAGTGCATATGTGGCCATTGTTGTAGTTCACCATAAATATATTTATAAATACATATACCCTGTGATATGTAATACGATATAGATTTAATATATTTGTCAGAAAAATTCGAATTAAAAATATGTAATTTAAGGTGTGTTATTTATATGTCGAGTTATTTTCAGGGAAAACTAGTTGTAATATATTTAGGATCTAACGTTTAACAAACGAAACGAAGAAGATATGGACAGGTCAACGGAAACTCAAAATTGATGAAAATATGAAGAGATTTACATGGAAATCCCTGTATGGGGGACGAGACTAGATGTTTCAGTATGCCTCTTCTGATTCATTGACAACACCCGCCCTGAAAATCTTGGTCAATCTAAGACAAACTAAGTAATGCTATATTACCATTTTAGAACAAGGCCAACAACAATGGGACCACAAGGAGTACTATTGAGAACCAAACATTTCCAACCTCACACCGCAAAAGGAAATAGTATATTTTCCCAGTGAGATAAGTATGAGGACCAAAAACACTCCCTAATCATTTTCATCAGCCTGCATCTCTCGATAGAAAAGTTTCGGTCATGAGAAGTGATATTGAATTCATGTACCTGTTTATGTCATCCTATTCTAAACTAGACGTACTTGTGAACATGAATGTGATTTTTTTCATTAAATATGATGAATAAATACGTGGTGTTTTTTTTTGCAATTTTGAAATCAAGCATCAGTATTGTAAAAATCATGATTTTCCTTTAACATACATTATCTAACAAAATATTGTCCACACTTACAAATAGTTAAACCTAGTCTACAAATGCACTAGTGGTAAAAATTAGTCTACACTCAATTGCATTGCATGTGTTCTAAACACGACTTTTCTATTGGTCATATATTCACTTCTCACTGTTGGAAGGAAATTCTGGATCAAAATCATGACAAAGGAACATTGTACTAGATGTTTTTTTTTAGATTTTCTAGTCAGATTTACATTACATTTGATTCTCTCCTTATGAAGCTGTTCTGTTCATGGCCTTCCGGATTGTCGTGTAAATCAGAACACGTGACCATAGCCAGCTGTTCAGTTTCTTCACCCTTCTTTGTTACAATCACTTGACTAGCTACAACTGTTTGTACTGCACGGAATTTCCGGGAAATCTGTCCAGTATTTTGAATCCCTAACTGTTATCTACAAGTCACACAATGTCCTGTCATCAATGACTCAAGGACACCGCAAAGGATTTTACAAAACTATCGCCAGTGAAAAAGTACATATGAAAATAAGAGATACTGAGGCTAGTGCACCTCCACATCTTGAGTTTTGACTTTCTTCAATCACTTAAGATTTTTCTGTTGGTTTTTAGATTTCAAAACTAGCCTTTAAATCACTGTCTAGTCCTAGAATGACGAAACAGCTTCTAACTTTATCTTAAAGGGTTCTATTTGCTTGTTCAATCGTTTCAATTACTTATACATCATTTTGCTGGTTTTCACTTTAACACTTGCTACCAGGCATGCATTTATTGTCTATGAATACTTTAATAATTTAACGTAACAAGAGGCTTAAGTGGCCTGTAATCATGTAAGTGTATATTTGTCCTCTTTAGAACTTGCTTATAAAACAAGATTATTTTTTTAAACAGCTCTTCATGAGACAGAAGAAATATTGGTATTTCCTGTGTTGTTTTAGCACACTTTATGCCATTCAACCAAATTAAAGAGAAATTATTGTGAACTGGATAGTTCTTCATCATACCACACTTCATGACACTCATCTTTTCATTTCTAAAGAAGAAGAAAAGTTTTGAAGTAAAACAATATATCCAACACTATGATGTCTTTTAAGGATAAAAAAGGAAAAAAAGAAAAACGACAAGATCCAAAATTCCAGAAATATATTCCATATTTTATTAATATGTAGCTGATGTTTTCCTAGCACCTCAAGTCCCCAAACGTCAAGGACAGTGATACAATTTAACATTATATAACATTACATTGTAATGAACAGCGTATTAACCATAAAACATTGGCTGAGCATTATATATCCAGGTAACAACCAGATCTCGGTTACCATATGATCTGGGTAGCCTTATGATCAAGGTAAACACATGATCAAGGTAGACATATGATCTGGGTAGCCTTATGATCAAGGTAAACACGTGATCAAGGTAGACATATGATCTGGGTAGTCTTATGATCAAGGTAGACATATGAACAAGGTAGACATATGATCTGGGTAGCCTTATGATCAAGGTAAACACGTGATCAAGGTAGACATATGATCTGGGTGGCCTTGTGATCAAAGTAAACACATGATCAAGGTAGACATATGATCTGGGTAGTCTTATGATCAAGGTAGACATATGATCAAGGTAGACATATGATCTGGGTGGCCTTGTGATCAAAGTAAACACGTGATCAAGGTAGACATATGATCTGGGTGGCCTTGTGATCAAAGTAAACACGTGATCAAGGTAGACATATGATCTGGGTAGCCTTATGATCAAGGTAAACACGTGATCAAGGCAGACATATGATCTGGGTGGCCTTGTGATCAAAGTAAACACGTGATCAAGGTAGACATATGATCTGGGTAGCCTTATGATCAAGGTAAACACGTGATCAAGGTAGACATATGATCTGGGTAGTCTTATGATCAAGGTAGACATATGATCAAGGTAGACATATGATCTGGGTAGCCTTATGATCAAGGTAAACACGTGATCAAGGTAGACATATGATCTGGGTGGCCTTGTGATCAAAGTAAACACATGATCAAGGTAGACATATGATTAAAGTAAACACATGATCCCGGTAAATACATGATCTATGTAACCATATGGTATCGGTAATAACATGATCTTGGTAACCACACAATCTTGTTAACTACGTGAGTTCTATGCTTTAAAAGTAAGATGGAAATAACATGAAAAATATACTTTTTTGACACAAGGAAATAAAATCTTTAACAACTTACACAATTTTCCTTTCAAGTCTTTCATACATTAAAAAAATCTCCATCATGTTGCGTCTATCACAAATGACTTAATTTCCTCCAGAAGATTCTATTCATCACAAATGACTTCCTAAATTCCTCATGTATCTATTACCTGCAACTAAAATGTACATTATCTTGTTCTTGTCAAACAGATGGCAAGAAAAAACA